TTTTTTTTTTTTTAAGTTAAAAAAAAAATCTTTTTAATGTTTATTTATTTTTGGGAGAGAGAGAGCGCACTAGCAGGGGAGAGGCAGAGGGAGTGGGGGACAGAGTATCAGAAGCAGGCTTTGTGCTGACAAGCAGAGAGCCTGATGCAGGGCTTGAACTCACAAACCATGAGATCATGACCTGAGCTGAAGTTGGACACTTAACCAACTGAGCCACTCAGGCGTGCCTGTTCTCTTTGGTTTCTATTCAAAGTTTTGTGGTCATTCAAATCATTGATGTATATATATACACACACATACATATGTATACATATGTACATATGCATATACAGAAATATAATGTTATTTTTTTAAACTGCTTTCTAGATTTTTTTTTAACATTCGGTTTTGAAATTTTTCATTAAGGTGTATCTGGGTGTATTTTTCTTCGAGTTTATTTTCTTGAGTGTTTGTTGAGCTCCTAGGATCTGTAAATTAATGTCTCATTAATTTTGGGTGATTTTCCACCATTATTTTTTTCAAATGTATTTTCATGCCACAGACTTTTTTCCTTTCCTTTTGGGATTATGGCTACACTTAAGTTAGACATTTTGATGTTGACCCACAGGTTGTTGGGGCTCTGCTGAGTGTTTTTCAGTCTTTTTTCTCTTTGTTCTTCGGATCGGTTAATTTCTTTTTTTTTTTTTTTTTTTTTTAAATTTTTTTTTTTTCAACGTTTATTTATTTTTGGGACAGAGAGAGACAGAGCATGAACGGGGGAGGGGCAGAGAGAGAGGGAGACACAGAATCGGAAACAGGCTCCAGGCTCTGAGCCATCGGCCCAGAGCCCGACGCGGGGCTCGAACTCACGGACCGCGAGATCGTGACCTGGCTGAAGTCGGACGCTTAACCGACTGCGCCACCCAGGCGCCCCCAGATCGGTTAATTTCTATTGATCTGTCTTCAAGTTCACAGGCTCTTTCCTTTTTCATCTCCATTCTGTTATTGAGCCCATTCTGTTTTTATTTCAGATATTGTATTTTTAGTTCTAAAATTTCAGTTTTTTTTTTTTTTTTTTTTTTTTTTTTTTTTTTTTGGTTTCTGTTTTCTGCTGATAATTCCTATCTTTTCCTTCACTTCAAGTGTGTTTTCCTTTATTTCATGAAACATAGTTATAATAGCGTCTTTAAATCTTTGGTAGTTCTAACTTCTGGATCATCTTGGGGTGACATTTGTTTGTTATCTGTTCCTTTCAGAATTATTCACATTTTACTGGTTCTTTGTGTATTGCATAATTTTGGAATTTATTCCTAATATTGCGAATGTTATTTGTATAGACTTTGGGTCCTTTTAGAATCTTCTGGGAGATCATTGCTGTTTTGTTTTATTGAAAAAAAATTTTTTAATGTTTATTTTTGAGAGAGAGACAGAATACTAGCAGGGGAGGGGCAAAGAGAAAAGGAGACAGAATCCAAAGCAGGCTCCAGGCTCTGAGCTATCAGCACAGAACCCGATGCAGGGCTCGAACTTATGAACTGTGAGACCATGACCTGAGCTGAAGTCGGACACCCGACTGAGTCACCCAGGTGCCCCATCATTGCTGTTTTTATTTTAGCAAGTAACCTGTTTACTGTTCAGACCATAAGTTCTGTCTTGTCTTCTGAGGGTATTGGTTCAATCTTAGTTCCATTATTAAAAAAAAAAAATTTTTTTTAATGTTTAATTTTGAGGGAGGGGAGGGGCAGAGAGAGAGACACACACAAGAATATGAAGCAGGCTCCAGGCTCTGAGCTGTCGGCACAGAGCCTGATGCAGGGCTCAAATTTAAGAACTGTGAAATCATGACCTAAGCCTAAGTTGGACGCTCAACCAACTGAGCCACCCAGGTGCCCCTTAGTTCCACTCTTCTAAGTCTTTGCTATGATAGTTGAAGTCTGTTTTGAATAGTTTAGTGGTTTGTTGGAGACTTTTTCAGGTGTTTCAAGTCTTGTTTCATTTCTCCAAGCTTTTGCTACATTGGATTGGGTCTGTCTTTCACTAGTAGCTCAGGGGTTAGTCTGAGGCTTGTGCAATTTGTTAAAATCTTATTTCACCTTTTGAAGCCTTTGCTAAACTGGCTTGGGTATGCTCCACACATACATGGCTCAGATTAAGCTGTGATTTGTATGAATTCAGACAGAATTATGCGATTACCTTCTTTGCATATCTCTTCTTCACAGCTCTCTCACACCTTCTGGTCTATAGAGAACCCTTTTCCTGGTTTCACTGGTCAGAAAGATAGTTTTTGTTGGAATGTAGGCCGCCCATGCTACTCTACAAATGGGCCCACCCTTATTGCAGAGCCACCTGTGAGGGAAAACAAAAAAAAGAGCGGGGGTGGGGTGGGGTGGGGAACACATCCCATGGGAGTCACTTCTCCCAGTTTTGACTTCTCTCCACAATCCACCTGCTTTGTTTTCTTTTCAGAATCTAGGATTTTTAGTTGTAATAAGCAGGAGGGATGGGCTGTAGAGGGCTTATGCACCATGGCTGAATCAAGACTTCGTTGTATTAAATTTGTAATTTTGGATCTCATGTGCAGAGAAGTGAAAATCATTCTTCCCTGCTCAGAGTATACTGACATCATCAGTCCCTATTATTTTTTGTTTTACCTGTTTCCATTTCCATCTCCTTCCAGAGACAACCATGTTAGCAAGTGTGACATCTGTCCTTAAATATTTATGAATCTTTGTAAAATAGCTAGTGCTGTTTACACGTATATTTGTTTTTAATTTACCAAATTGACATTAGTCTTGTTCTGTTTCTTCTGTCATTCAACAGTATGCTTTTTGGTTATGTTCATGTCTCTATGTGTAGAAATGGTTTATTGCTTCTAACAACTACATAGTATTCCATAGTAGACATGTATCACATTTTACTTACATATTTCTTTTTTTTTTTCAACGTTTATTTATTTTTGGGACAGAGAGAGACAGAGCATGAACGGGGGAGGGGCAGAGAGAGAGAGGGAAACACAGAATCGGAAACAGGCTCCAGGCTCTGAGCCATCAGCCCAGAGCCCGACGCGGGGCTCGAACTCACGGACCGCGAGATCGAGACCTGGCTGAAGTCGGACGCTTAACCGACTGCGCCACCCAGGCGCCCCAGACATATTTCTTAAGAATGGTCACCTAGGGGCACCTGGGTGGCTTAGTAGGTTAAGCGGCCAACTCTTGATTTTGGCTGAGGTCATGATCTCACAGTTCACGAGATTGAGCCCCACATCGGTCTCTGTGCTGACGGCGCGCCTGCTTGGGATTCTTTCTCTCCCCCTCTCTCTCAGGACCGCTTTTGTGCCTATGTGCACACTCTCTCTTTCGAAATAAATAAGTAAGCATTTAAAGTATTGTATTGAATCTGCCAATTTACGTCTACTATAAGACCTTAGTTCAAGTCCTTATCATCTCTTATCTATTCTGTTACAATAAACTGCTACCTCTTCTCCCTTTATTCACTTTTCCTCCATGGGTCATCTAATGTATAGCATCCAGAGTGATCTTTCTGAACCAGAAGCCTAACACATGCCTCACACAGATCTTTAGCTGGAGAAGGATGTCTCAGAGGTTCTTGGACCACACTTTTGAGAACTGCTGCTCCTCTGTGCATTCTGAGCCTCCTAGAAGATAACTTTGTAATTACTCAGTCATGTTTGTTAACTACATAGTGACTGGTCTTAAATTTGGGAATTTGGATCCAGCTGTGTATCAGACTTGTCTGGCCAGCTTACCTCAGACAAGACAGCACCCTTCCTTTAACTGTGGGAACTAAGAATCATATTGCCTAAATAAGACAGGACAGCCCTGACACCAGGTTTAGGGAGGAGGCTAAGGGAGAGGGAAGATGGAGCAGACTAGAGCCCTACAAACTGTTTTTTTCCTTCTTTATTCTCAGGGGTACTGTTTAGTTACTGTCCCTCTCTCAGAGAAATAGAGGTGCCTGGTTACAGATCCATGGGATCTTCTGAAGGGTTGTAGAACAACCTATTATTTTGACTACTTTCTTTTCTTGGATCAATCTAGGAAAGAATGCCTACTTGGACTGCAGAGTGAGCACTAATGTGTACTGCTTTCTCTTATCACAATAAAGTATAATAATAATTTTATATGTTGCCTTTGGTCAACCATTGTAATTGTTAGATTACAACCTAATCCTGTTTTTATTATCAGGCTTCTTAGGTTTTGCATCGGTTACCAACTTCTTATGATACAAAATAATTAATAGGAACTTTACTCTTGTGGTATATATATTTGTGTCATATTAATAGCAGGACCCAGTGCTCCATAAAGGATAATAGTTTCCAGTACACTATTCCTCACGATGACTCCTTAAGCGGCTCGTCGTCTGCTTCTTCATGTGAGCCAGTGAGTGATTTTCCAGCATCCTTCCGAAAGTCTACCTACTGGATGAAGATGAGAAGGGTCAAGGCAGCTGCTGCTTCGCGTGTTGAAGGTACCAGTATCTCTGCTTTATTTCAAAGACAGAGCATTCTCTAGGTAGCTGTTGTAAATGGTTCTTAAAAGTATTAAGCATCACATATGTTTCTCACATCTGTGTTAGGCTGTCACACACTGTTAAGCTTTGTGAACTGTCCTTTTATTTTATTTTTTTAGTTTATTATTTTTTTTAATTTACATCCAAATTAGTTAGTATATAGTGCAACACTGATTTCAGGAGTAGATTCCTTAGTGCCCCTTATCCATTTAGCCCATCCCCCCTCCCACCACCCCTCCAGTAACCCTCAGTTTGTTCTCCATATTTATGAGTCTCTTCTGTTTTGTCCCCCTCCCTGTTTTTATATGATTTTTGTTTCCCTTCCCTTATGTTCATCTGTTTTGTCTCTTAAAGTCCTCATATGAGTGAAGTCATATGATTTTTGTCTTTCTTTGACTAATTTCACTTAGCATAACACCCTCCAGTTCCATCCACGGAGTTGCATGGCAAGATTTCATTCTTTTTGATTGCCGAGTAAAACTCCATTGTATATATATACCACATCTTCTTTATCCATTCATCCATCGATGGACATTTGGGCTGTTTCCATACTTTGGCTATTGTTGGTAGTGCTGCTATAAACATGGGGGTGCATGTGTCCCTTCGAAACAGCACACCTGTATCCCTTGGATAAATGCCTAGTAGTGCAATTGCTGGGTTGTAGGGTGGTTCTATTTTTAGTTTTTTGAGGAACCTCCATACTGTTTTCCAGAGTGGCTGCACCAGCTTGCATTCCCAACTGTCCTTTTATTTTAGAGTGAAATTCTTACTCCTCTAGGTTATACGGGTATCAGCCTTTCCTCTTCAAATGATTTGAACTTCTTTCCCATTATACCAATCTCATCCTCTGTTGACGTTTAGAGGCCTTTATTATTCATGGGGAACAATTGATCAGTTGGGATGGAGAACAGTAAAAAAATGAAATGGGGAGGTCGAATGAGTTAGTGACGTTTTACCAACTTCCCTAAAACTGTCACAGACACTTCTGTGGGGCTTGTGTTTGCTGATGATCTCTCCTGTGATGACCTTGTGAATGTGTTTTTTTGTTTTTTTTTTTTGGTGAGTGATATTTTGAAGGCTGGCCAGTCTGTTCACTTGTAAGCCATACTGAGGGTTTTGTTTGTTTGTTTTTGTGTGGTATTTCAGGGTCAGGTGGAGTATCAACCAAAGGAAAAAGGAAACCCAGGCAGGAAGAAGATGAAGACTATCGAGAATTTCCTCAGAAGAAGCATAAGCTTTATGGTGAGGGAGTAACTTTGCTAATTCTTTTCCCTTGGGTACCTTGGCTTTATTCTTCAGGGGTAAAAGGGAGAGAGACCTGAGGTTTTGGCCCTTGGAGCACTGCTGAACCCTTTGATTTTTTGGCAAGGAATGGCTTTCATCCTACCTGACTTTTTTGTTTTTTTCCTGTCATAACTTTTTTTTTTCACATTTACTCATTTTTGAGAGACAGAGAGAGACAGAGCACAAATGGGGGAGGGGCAGAGAGAGGAGGAGACACAGAATCCGAAGCAGGCTCCAGGCTCCGAGCTATCAGCACAGAGCCCAATGTGGGGCTCGAACCCACGAACTGCGAGATCATGACCTGAGCCGAAGTCGGATGCTTAACTGGCTGAGCCACCCAGGCGCCCCTATTATTTTTATTTTATTTTTTTAAAATATGGAATGCTTATATGTGCTGCCGAAGCGAGCACTTTTTTTTTTAATTTTTTTTTACATTTATTCATTTTTGAGAGACAGAGATAGAGCACAAATGGGGGAGGGGCAGAGAGAGAGGGACCCTGTCATAACTTAAGGGAGACGGTTGGTTGAGGGAGTGGGACATAGGGTGTTGAGAAGAGATGGGAGGAAATTTTGATAGTAACAGATTGGATAGCAAAGGTGATATGTTGGGCTTCAAGTTTCTGTCTTGTGTCAGGGAGGAAGCAACGGCCTAAAACTCAACCTAATCCTAAATCCCAGGCTCGTCGTATTCGGAAGGAACCACCAGCTTACGCAGCAGGTATGTTTTCTGTTGGAAGCTTTGGGGTATCAAGGTCTTGCACTCTGTTTTTTGTTGTTGTTGTTGGTCAAGGAGTGATGTTATAAAGAGTTTCTTTAAGGAGGCAGTTATTAAGGGTATGGGTTTGGAGGCCAGTCAGACCCGCCTTTAAGTTTTGGCTCTTAACTCATTTTCTGGTCTGCCTTCATCTAGTTAACTTCTGCAGGCTTCAGTTACCTTGTCTCTAAATAGGGATAATGAAGGTAGTCAGAATTTTCATGGAGACTAAATGGGGATAAAAACATTTAAGAACATCTCAGACACACAGGAAACAGGAAATTGGCTGTTATATATCTAAGTATCCCATTATTATATGCTGCTGTGAAAATGTTGCCCCATTGTTGGTTATACCTCAGTAAAGCTAGAAAAAAAAATGTTGCCCCGTTCTTTAAGCTGCTGGGCTTTTGAATGGTTCTCAGATGGTTTTGGTCGTGGAGGACTGAGTAGGAGTATCAGAAACTCCTCATTGTCTGAAAAAAAATTACTTCTAGAAAGAGTCTTTTCCCCAGGAAGGAAAAAAAATGATACTTTTACTAAATTCCAGGAATACGTTTTCTGTTTCTAGAGAATTCTGCAAATTATGAAGTGTTTCTTTCTCTGCTTTGTAGGCAGTTTGGAGGAACAATGGTACCTAGAAATTGTGGATAAAGGCAGTGTCTCCTGTCCTACCTGCCAGGCGGTGGGGAGGAAGACCATAGAGGGCTTAAAGAAACACATGGAGACTTGCAAACAGGTTAGAGATTTTGTGGCGTTTCATAAGGGTTATGACCTTTTCCCATACCTCAGACAACTATCGCTGTGTCAGTGTGCTGATTACTGTGGAGAAGCAGCAGCATTGTGTTACAAGGAAAACAGAGGCTTTAGAGTCTGACAGACTTGGGTTTGAATCTTCATTTAGCCACTTACTGGTTGTGTCATTTAGCTTTTTATGTGTGGACCTTGGTTTTCTCATTTATATTACAAATTATACAAATAATTTTATGTAGTCCCTGAGGGGATAAGAAAGAATACATGCTGAGTGCCCACCCCGTTACTCGGCAAATGTTGGCGCTCAGTAAATGGTAATTCTGACTCCTTTAAAAATGAGTTACTTTTACTTCTTTACCCTTGAGGATGTGACACTGAGGTTGTGGGGTTTTGAGATTCTTTGGGTTTGGAAATAAAGGAGACACAGACGAGAGCATCCGGGTAGGACTTTGTTACATTCTGTTTCTCTGTTGAACAACCTGACACTGAGCAGTATTTCTTCCTGTAGGAAATGTTTACTTGTCATCATTGTGGGAAACAACTTCGTTCACTGGCAGGGATGAAGTATCACGTGATGGCAAATCATAATAGCTTGGTAAGAGTATCTTCTGTCCTGTGTGAGCCTGTGTGTGTTTGGATGTCTTTCGTTAGATGAGTGCGGATAACCCAGTGGAGGTGTCTAAGGCTCTGGGGCTTTATAGGGGTGTGAGTAAGAATACCTTTTTGATAGAAGAGTCATGCACATGAAACCTTTGCGGTGGGTATTTGTGTGTTTAGGTTAGCCCCAAAGGTTCGTCTCCTGGAAGATAGAGGCTCTGAGCTCTTATTTGCATTACATTTGCTTCCTTGTCTGTCTAGGAGAAGATGGAGAAAGCCAGGAGTCAGATAACTAAGCTTCATGGGCATCGGCTTAGGTGCTAGTCCAGTCCTTGATTCTCCTATGATACAATTTTTTTCTGTATCTGTCTTTTCCATGAATCATCTGCTTGTTTGCTTGTCTTGCTTTCTAGCCCATTTTGAAGGCTGGAGATGAAATAGACGAACCAAGTGAGAGAGAACGGCTCCGAACAGTTTTAAAGAGACTGGGAAAGCTCAGGTGCATGCGCGAGGTAAGAGCCCAGGGACAGTGTCTCCTTCTGCCTGGAGTCTTGAATCAATGTCTTTCTGTTATTTTGTTCCATTTCTTCTCTTTTGTAGACCTGGTTCTGTGTCATCATACAGTGTAAGAGTGGCTCCTGCTTTTCCAGCTGTTTTGAATTCATTAGTAGCTCTTTATTTTCTTTCCCATCTCCATAAACTTATTTCCCCCCTCTTTCCCTTTGTTCAAAGGAGTTTCTTTACCATCCTTTTTTAGTGTGATGAAAAGGATCTTAGTATTCTCACTGTGAGGAGCTTTGCCATTGCTGGGTGTATGATACTGGGGTGGAGTCGAGTCACAGACCAGAGAGGAAGCTCTGCCACAGGGGAGACACACAGATCCAGTTTACTGAATGCCAACTAAACTGATTGACTGTCACGGTTGGTGGTGGACAGGACAGGCGTTCGGCCAGGCACAAGGGCCAAGGAAAGGTTGTGCCAACGGGAAGTGTTGGAGAGGGTCTAGTGATACCAGAGGATCTATTTACGTGAGGTGGTGGTTGAATGCTTTGTGGCTGTTGAGAAATTGAGAAATCATGTCAAAAGATGTAAGATTATAGTTCAGGCCTTTCTCCTGTGTTCAGAGTTGCTCTAGTAGCTTCACCAGCATCATGGGATATCTGTACCATGTCAGAAAATGTGGCAAAGGGGCTGCAGAGCTGGAGGAGATGACCCTGAAATGTCACCACTGTGGAAAGCCATATAAATCGAAGGCTGGACTTGCGTATCACCTGAGGTCAGAGCATGGTCCTGTGAGTACTGATTACTTTCCAGACCCTGTTTGGGGATCTGTTTTTTGGGGACTCCTTACTCCGACATCTTCCCATACATCCGCTGTTCCTTATTTGTATCCCCTTTTAATCTTTGAATGCTTTTGTTTTCCTTTCCTTATTTTTCCTTGGTTCTCTTATTTCTGCCTTTTGAACATAATTAGGTTAGAGAAATCAAAGTTCAGCGTGTAATCTGTGCAGAAGTAAACTCATTATTACACTTTTAAAGCTTAAGGCATTCCGATTTAGCTAGAAATTTTGTGGAAATTTCTGTCCGGCTGGTTCTTCCATTCCAATTTTTTTGTCTTGATTTTTTTCCCCCTTGATTACATTTCTAGGCTTCCCCCACCTCATGTTTCTTTTTAGAATTCAGTTTCAAGGTATAATTTACATATGATAATTAATGTTCACCCTTTTAATTTTTTAATTTTTTATTTTTTTTAATGTTTATTTTTTGAGAGCGAAGACAGTATGGGGGGGTGGGCGGAGAGAGAGAAGGAGGCACAGAATCCGAAGCAGGCTCCAGGCTCTGAGCTGTCAGCACAGAGCCTGATGCGGGGCTCAAACCGACGAACCGTGAGATCATGACTTGAGCCGAGGTTGGACGCTTAACCGCCTGAGCCACCTAGGCGCCCCAATATTCACCCTTTTTAGTGTGCAGTTACGAGTTTTGACAAATACATAGTCATGTAGTCACCACCACAATCAAGATATAGAACGATTTGACCACTGATTTATTTTCTGTCCCTATAGTTTTGCTTTTTTCACAATGTCCTATAAATGGAGTCATACAATATGTAGCCTTCCTTTTGAGTCTGGCTTCTTTCACTTAGCATAATACATTTGAGACTCATCCATGTGTTGCATGTATCATTAATTTATTTCTTTTTATTTCTGTCTAGGATTCCATTGTATGGATGTTTCACAGTTTCTTTATCCATTCATCAGTTGGAGAACATTTGGGTTGTTCCCATATTTTGGCAATTATGAATAAAGTTACTATAAACATTCACATAAAAGGCTTTTGTGTGAAAATAAATTTTAATTTCTCTTGGGTAAATACTTAGGAATGGGATAGCTAGGTCATATGATAAATGTATGTTTAACTTTATGAGAAACTGCCAAACTCTTTTTCAGAATGGCTGTACCATTTTGCATTCTCACTAATAAAATATGAGAATTCCAGTTGCTTTGTATCCTTGTTAGGATTTGCTATTGTTAATTTCATTTTTTTCTTAGTCCATTCTATTAGGTATGCAGTGGTATTTCACTGAAGTTTAAATTTGCATCTCCCTAGTGACTAATGACATTGACCATCTTTTCATTTGTTTATTGGCAATGTCAGTTGTTAGTGAAGTGTCTTCTTTTTTGAAGTGGCCATTGAAATCCTTTATTACTGGAGTTTTGTTGTCTTACTAGGAAGTTTTGAGAATATTCTGAGTTTTTTATATATTTTGGACAGAAGCCCTTCATCAGATACATGTTTTGCAAATATTTTCTCCCAGTCTATAGTTTGTCTTTTCATTTATTTACAGTGTTCTAAATTTTTTTATAAGTTTATTTATCTTGAGAGGGAGAGAGAGCACCCAAGCAAGGGAGGGGGAGAGGGAGAGAGAGAAGCCCAAGCAGTCTCTGCTTAGTGTGGAGCTTGATGTGGGGCTTGATCTCACAGCTGTGAGATCATGACCTGAGCTGATATCAAGAGTCAGATAGATGCTCAACCGACTGAGACACCCAGGCACCCCTATACTGTTTTTCAAAGAGCATAGTTCTTAAGTTCGATTTATCATTTTTTCCTTTTATGGGTAATGCTTTTTTTGTTGTTGTTTCTAATATCTCTTTGCCCAACCCAGTTTTCTTTTCTTTTCTTTTTTTTTAAAATGTTTTTATTTATTTTTGAGAGAGACAGAGTGTGAGTGGCAGAGGGGCAGAGAGAGAGAGAGAGAGGGAGACACAGAATCTGAAACAAGCTCCAGGCTCTGAGCTGTCAGCACAGGGCCAGATACGGGGCTTGAACTCATGAACTGTGAGATCATGAACTGAGCCACCCAGGCACCCCCCAACCCAATTTTCTATTGCTGCTATAAAAAATCACAAGGGGGCCTGGGTGGCTCAGTCGGTTGAGTGTCTGACTTTGGCTCATGTCATGATCTCACAGTTCTTGGGTTCCAGCCCTGCATCTGAGCTGTCAGCACAGAGCCTGGAGCCTGCTTCTGATTCTGTGTCTTCCTCTCTCTCTGCCCCTTCCCCACTCACACTCTTGTCTCTCTCTCAGAAAATAAAACATTTAAAAAAAATCACCACAGAATTAATGGCCTAAATAACACAACTGTATTGTTTCAGTGTATTAGGCCCGAAGTCCAGGGATAGCACAGCTCAGCTGGCTCCCCTGTGTAGGATCTCACCAGGCTGGCATCAAAATGTCAGTAGGACTGTTCCTTTTTGGAGGCTCAAGGGGAGAATCTGTTTTGAGGCTCATTAAAATTAAGACTTGAGTTCCATGCAGTTAGTTGTAGGACCTCATTTCCTTGCTTGCTGTAGGCCGAGAGTTGTTCTCTGGTTCTGAAGGCCACCTATGTTCCCTGGCTTGTGGCCCCTTCCTCTTCAAGTCAGCAGCAGTATCGAGTCTCTCTCACACTCTGAATCTCTCCTGCCTTTTCTTCTGTCGCACCTCTCTTACTTAAAGTCAACTGATTCTGGACTTTAATTAGATCTACAAAGTACCTTCACAGCAGCACATAGATTAGCGTTTAATTGAATAATTGATGACTGTAGCCTAGCCAGGGTGACACATAAAAAACCATTACACCCAGGATTACAAAAATGTCCTCCTTTGTTTCTTCTAGAAGTTTTATAGTTACATGGTTTACATTTCATTTTGAGTTAATTTTTATATGTAGTATGAGATAGGAATGGGTTGAGGTTCATGTCTTTGCACATGGCTATGTCTTGACCTTTACTTATTAAAATAGAACAGACTTTACCCTAAGAAATTTTTTATATCAGCAAAATACGCATGAAGGTGGTAGAGCTTTATGCTAGTGGTTAGCAAGCAAGTGAAGAGCTTTTGATACTTAGAGCAGGAAGGATAGCCCTTAATCATTGGCTTTGATGGAAGCCACTTCTCAGGCCTGTGTTTTGCTATGTCTCATTCTTGCAGATCTCATTCTTTCCAGAGTCAGGACAGCCAGAGTGCTTAAAGGAGATGAGCCTGGAGCCAAAGAGTGGGGGTCGAGTTCAGAGGCGTTCTGCCAAGATAGCTGTGTACCACCTGCAGGAGCTGGCTTCTGCTGAACTGGCCAAGGAATGGCCTAAGAGGAAGGTGCTTCAGGATTTGGTGCCTGATGATCGGAAGGTAAAGTAGAAACTTGCGTTAATTTTGAACCATGTCTGATGTTGTGCTTAGTACATACGGAAAAGTAAATGCACTTGAGTACGTGATAAACAGTATGTTGCTTTTTTTTAAATTAATTAATTAATTTTATTTTTTAAAAAATATATGAAATTTATCGTCAAATTGGTTTCCATACAACACCCAGTGCATCCCAAAAGATGCCCTCTTCAATACCCA